TCCTGAAGCAGCTCCTGTTCTGTACTCATCTGTCTTCGGTAGTATGGGTTACTGTTTTTGTCTTTTCCTTTGGTATCCTTATCCTTCCGTCCTCCTTGTGACCCCATGTGGATCAGAGCCTGGAATATCTTGTAGAATTCCACACGATCTTTTGGGCACTCCACATTTGCCATTGATTGCCTTCTGAAGTCACGCCCCCAGCTCATACCTAGAGCCATAGATCCGAATACCCCACTGCCACTTAATGTAAGAGGAGATGGTTTTCCCAGACCAGAAAATCGTCCAGAACTGTCAAGTGGTCGAGTAATTGTTGAATACAGTGGAACTTCAGCAGTGTCTGTATTTAGCGCTGTTAAATCACTGGAAGTTCTTTTTAAAGTTCGATCATAGGCCCTTGTTGTTGTCAGAACCTTCTTTTTAGATTCTCGACTATCTTTTTTTTTCTTTTCTTTCTCATTCTCAGGAACATCTCTTTCAAGATTATCATCCGAGTCTACACCACTGAGCATTGAGAACATTTGATCTCCGCCATATCTTTCCTTTATCACATTCACAGGGCCACGTCCCAGAGTTTTCCTCCTCATCTCAATCTTTTCCCTATGTTCTTTCTGTGACACCCGAAGTGTATTAGATTGATGCTTACTTTTTTCTCGTTTCATACGCCTTGGATCTGTAGGGGGTGTTATACTGTATTTCATTGCATAAAACTTTGGATCATTGTCTGGATCTAATGATACACAGGGTGAATCCTCGTCAAATTCATCATCACTGCCATCAGCATCATTTTCCTCAACTGACATTGGACTGAAATCAAAGAAGATATAACAATTTTACCATGTACACATAGTAAAAATCGCTAGCAAACAATACCAGTAATTTTCACAAATAAATTTGCTTCCAGAACATGCAAACAAGGAGAATAAATTTAAAATATTTGAGTCTCAAGAGAATGGCTTGACCATGTAGACAAATACAGCATATCACCTCTTTTACAAATTATTTATTCTGATTAATTTGTCAATAGTTTAATTATTGACATATTGTTTATTCACATAAAATGCAAAAACTATTGAGGACGAATATAATTTTGAATTACATTGTCTACTATATGACAAATTGAGACGTGAATGTGCACTTAAAAGTATGTGAATGCAAGATCCATGCTTTCAACACATCATGATGAAAAACTAAGAAATATTGGTAAAGATGTTCACCTAGCTTTTAAAGCGAGGCTAGATTTCATTGTATGCATATGGGATCACAGGATGAGAGTTATTAAGGAAGTCACAGATATATGGTATTTGTATATTGTACATTATAATATGATACATCTGCAGTCTGTTCAGTATTGCTGTTATACAACTGTAACTTAATATGTACTGTACAAACTGTATAGTATTATTGGCTGTTGGCCTTGAAATACTCAAATTTACTACAGTGTAGAGTGCTGGACTAAAGATTGATGAAATTATATATATGGTAATTACGAGCTTGCTATTATATCAAGTATTATCAAGGAAAATCATTTAAGATTTAAACAAGTTCAAGTTCAAAGTTCAAATATCTAAACATTGCTTTGAGTTATGTGAGTCCCTGTAATGTATTTGCCTTAATTTAATGTGGGAATAGTACCCTCATGACCAGATGACCACTTACCTAATTGAAAACTTGGTACTTCCTTGAAAAGAAAACATATGCAACAAACTATATTTAATGATTTTCAAAACTTTTTAAAATGAGGAAGGGCTCATATTGATTTGCCCCTACCACAAACCTTGACTGGTAACTTTCAAAATTTAATCTGATGTAAAACTGTTGAGGCTCTTGAGCTATCTTGCACACACGTTTTTACTATTGAAGGACAACAAAGCAATTATATTACTGCAGATTCAAATTCCAAATTTTAAAAATGTTTGTATATTTATTTCATTAGTAGGGCAATTGCATTATGTATTGAAACATTAAATCATTCAAATCAATTTTTCAAACCTTAACTGAAATTTTGTTATGATAGGGTTTTTGACACTGACATTATAGTCCTCTAGTCCTATTCCTTTGTTATCATTATACTGAAATAAGAATATCCCCTGGGTGCATATATAATTCCACCAGCCCAACCCCCAGGACTAGGAGATGTTGTGTAAGGGCTAGTTAAAATGTTTAATATTTTACCATGAAATAAATTAAGTATAAGGAACAAGCAGTTAGCCAAGTAAAATTCTCCAAATTCAACTATTGTGTACCTATGAAATGGTACACCCATTTTGAATGTTTTGTCACACATATTTTGAGTCAAATGAATGGACTGGCAATGACATAAATGGGTGAAAATGAAGAAAAACTATTCAACTAAAATTTGTTCTAGAAATAAGTGGAATAAAAAATATTTTTGACTTTTAAACAATCTTTTGACAGTTAAAAAAAAATCACAAAAATTTAATCAGTCCACTAAGAATGTGTGTCATCACTTGACATCAACTTACTGCAACCTATGAAAAGAAATTTTGAAAGATTATCCTTAAACTCTGATACTGTTTCAAACCTGACAAATTCATTTTTTTTTACCTTATAGTAATTTTCACCTCTCACCTATTCATATATCAGATTTTACATCTAGCCTATCCGATTTCAATTTAAGTATGAGACCCAAAGAATAAGACATTTCAGAAACACTCGTTGCCAAGAAATTTGTGCGAGTAAAAATAAACAGTAGCAAGTCACATAACTAGCACGGTCAACCCCGTCGTTGATAATGCAAAAAAAATATTTCTGGCAGAAGTCCATCCTAAGAAGAAAATTACATCTTGAAAGAGCATTCCATGATAACACTTTCCCTATTAGAGATACTGAAAATCGTACGTGAAACCAGCGTATAACCTGGCAAAATCGACTTCAGAGTAGATGCATGCTTCCTTCAATCCAATGCTATTGTACTGTACTCGTACTGTCCAAGGACAGACTGCCATTTTTTTGCAGACGGGCACCATCAAAAATCGTATGCATAATTAAAAATGCATACTTATTGCACAATCAGTCCCGATGCAATGTTTGCACAGAAAACTTCTGTATATGTTACCGGAGTTTTACTCACAAATCATCTTGCAATGGGTTGTAATCTTCTACTGGCGAGACGGACACAAGGCCCTCCCTGTGTGGGTCCGCCATAGCTATTTGAAGTCACGCGATTTCACGTTCAAGAAACGTGATTACGATGCAGATTTATTTACCTTCAGGTAAATAAAAATAAACATATTTTTAACCGTGTTTGTCTAGTCAATACCTTCAGAACAAAATATCATTACCGTCAATATAGGAAATTGGTAAAAGGCATAATGAAGAGAAAGTTAAATTTTCCTAGCAAATCTACAATCTACCCACTGTTAACTCCGTAGTCTATCGACCTTAGCGGGAGTATTTTAAAGGAAGCATGGTTAGCTTCCGTCTGACCATATTCCCATTTATAACAAATTAATACACTCTTACACATCAACTCAGAAGAGGTGATTAGGGCCAGTAAATGCATTTATCAACAAAACTCTTTCTTAGTCATTGTATTCAATAATATTCATCACTTGGATCAAAGTTTTACTTATTCACAATATACAAGTTTATTAAACGTACCTAGCTAGGGAAGGTATTTACATTAAAAATAAAATTTATCACATTACCCATTTTAGTTTTAATGTAAATACCTTCCCTAGTCAACCTAAAGTAGCACAGGTTGTACCAATCTTTAAGAAGAAGGATGCTTTGGACAAGCAAAACTACAGGCCTGTTAGCATTCTACCAAGTGTCTCCTAACTCTCAGAAAGAGCTATGTGATCAGCTCAGAGAATATTTTAATGGTATTTTCATTTCTTCTTAGCAGCCTTCAGACCAGGATTAGGATGCCAAACTACCCTGTTAAGATGAACTACAAACTGATATCAATAACATCGTCCAATGGACATCAGAT